TTTGGGGGGGGGGGAGATACCGCCAGCCTTGAAATACTGTGTGTGGAACGGCGGCAGTGGGTTCTGCTTTCGCAGCCCGACTGCTACATTAATTCTCTCAAGATTTTCTTCCCTCCCATACTTGGCGGTGATGGGTACAAAGATGCAAAGCTTACGTGTTGCGTGTCCGCCGGGTCCTTATTCGTTTTACCTGCTTTTTTAGACAGTCCCCTACTTTATTTGCGTACGTGTCACAGAGTGCTTTCGTCGTACATTTGAACGCACTCTCTGACACTTGAGTACTTAAAACAATAAGTCGGAAGCGGAAGCCACGCCAAACCAGCCCCACAATGGAAGTTTCCCGAGAGCGCCTGCAACGCGCTGGGTAGGAAAACCCGCCGAGCAGCTGTGTGAAGACGGTGGCCCACCCACAGCGCCCAGCGCAAGTACTGGGCCAAGTGAACGTTGGAGCGCTCGATGTTCCCCCGCGCCTCCTCGGGGAACGGGATGATGCATTAGGGATCGTCCAGAAGCATGTCCGTTTCACTCAGATTTATCCGGCACATTTGGTCGGCTCGCCGCCTGCGAAGCTCAGGGCAGGCCAACCCGCAGTACACGTATGCACGGCAGGCAAGATGTTGCCTACCTATCAGGCGCCATGAGAGCTTGCAGGGGCTGAATTTGGCAGTTTTGTTACGGTGCATGACGGATGTACTTTCTGGATAATCCCTTATAGGGACACCGCAGTGAAAGGGCATCTCAGGCTAAGTAGGAATGTTTTTCGAAATGTTCCCAACCTAAAGTGTCGATGAACACGACATTTCCTCTATGACACTCGCGAAAGCGGTAGCGGAGTAGACCGTACGGGGCTGAGAACACTGATACGCCGAGTTCAACGGGGATAGCGTTAGTTATTGTAAAACGAAACAAATTAACAATTACCTAAATTTTAAGTTGGGATTCTTTCTGGAATTGTCCTAATTTGCCTGGAAATGAAAGACAGGGTGTTAAGCTTTTTCAAGGGGGCATTTTGGTGAGGGTTTGAATTATTACTCTATATCTGTGTCCTTTGGATCAAATTATGAAGGACAGGTGTCAAAGGACTTACGCTGGTAGCTGACCGACGACTTACTTATCAGGCTCCAATATTTTTTTAAAAAAATCAGGGCCCGCAATAGTACAAAAAAACACACAAAATATCCAGCAGATTTTCTAACAAAAATTGAAGCCAAGTTGTCACTCAAGCGCACAGATACAGAAAAGTTCCGGATCAACCACATGTAAGATGCAACGAGAAAGAGTTTGTGCCATGAATCGCTTGATAGTACGAATGCACCTTCAAACTTATGTTAACCCCCACCCCGCTTTCCCACCCACATATTTCCCAAACTAACAGTGCACATTAAGAGCGCAAGCGGAAAGAGAGAAAGATAGTGAAAGAATATGTACATGTGAAATGGTTCATGCTGATACCTACTTATTTTGTTACCACACAAGACGAAAAGGAAAAAAATTGCTTTGTTACAAACGACTAAAATCTATTGTGTCCATATTTATAAAATTTTGAACACTAAAAAAGAGGGGTATTTACAATTATTATTACTCTGCTTTTTCTTGTTATAAATGCCAGTGAGAGACATAGTATGTACAGTACACGAAATCGTGCACACAGATAAATGCTAATATCCAACATGCACCATGAACGAATGTTGCTGACTTACCGTGATTTTCCAATAAGCAAAAATTCTGAAATTTAAGATATTTGGTTTGGGAACGCAGCTATAAAAATATTTTGCGTTCCACCAACCCAACAGAGAGTACCAAAGAACCACCGTAAACGGAGGCTCAGGACTCTTAATCAAAAACAAAAATTCAAAACTCTCAAAAACAAAAAACAAAATAAAAATTTTAAAATGGCAGTCAAAAATATATTTGCCGTCAACTGAACGACAACATTATTTGATTTTCGCGATTTATTCGGATAGATTGTGCAGAGTACATGATTTTGTTACATATCGTGACTCCTATCTGTAAATTATGAACGATGAAAACAGTCTTACCACTTCTGCTAATGTCCTATGAACAATGGGATTCCGCGTTTCACTCGTTGGCCAACTGGTGTGAAATGTATGACTAGTGGGTGCTCGAGGCGTGAGTACCTGCGATGAGTAAGCCTAGGGACGATCACAGCAGCTTACGATCAGGGGATTGTGTTAGATGCGAGACTATAGTAGGACTCGGTCCAACGTCACACGAAACACCAAAAGGACAAACACATGATAATGTCTCGACCCCGGGAACGAGTTAGGCTGCTTCAGGACTGTTGAGGCAGGTAACTCAGGTCCGCGGGGCGGAGTCGTAGCGCGCTTGGGTCCGGCGGTGGCCGAGGCCAAGGCCTTGGCCTTCCCCACGGCCCCCTCACTCCTCGTCCAGAGGCCAGCCGGCGTCTTCGTCCGACTTGGCGTCCTCAACATCGTCCTTTTGCGCCTCAGAGGCGGGCTCCTCGACGACGGGGTCGTCCTCGGCGATGGCCTCTGGCTCGGGGGAGGCGGCCGTCTCAGGTTCCGGCTCGGCCTCGGCCACCTCGGGTTCAGGTTCGGGTTCGGGCTCATCGGCAGGCTCGGGAGTAGGTTCGGGTTCAGGCTCCGCCTCCTCGACGGGCGCCTCGGTTTCGGCCTCGACAACGGCCTCAGGCTCGGCCTCGGGCTCGGCCTCAACCTCGGCTTCGGTTGCCTCCTGGTCGTTGCTTACTTCCTGCTGTTCTTCTGCTGCGGGTTCCGCGGGTTGTGCAGTGGCCTCCGCCGCAGCCTGCTCCTCCTCGGCTTTCTTTGCCTCAGCGGCCAGTCGCTCAGCCTCCAGCTCAGCAGCCACGAGTTTCTCCAGTTCAGCCTCCTCCTCGGCGGCCTTCTTAGCCGCTGCGGCGGCCGCCTCGGCCTCAGCCGCTGCTGCAGCTGCAGCCGCTGCCTCTGCCTCAGATGCAGCTGCTGCAGCCGCTTCCTCCTCTGCCTTCTTCGCAGCAGCCTCTTCGGCAGCCTTCTTGGCTTCGGCTGCCTCGGCAGCCTTCTTTGCCTCTGCCTCATCGGCGGCCTTCTTGGCGGCTGCCTTCTTCGCCTTTTTCGCTTCCTTGGCCTCCATCTCGGCGCGCAGCTCGGCCTCCAGCTGTCTCTCCAGTTCGGCTTCCTCGGCGGCTAGCCTGGCGGCCTCGTCATCGGCTTCAGCCACGCCGTTGGTGACGGGGGCGGGCTCGGCCTTGGTCTCGGCAGCCAGCTCTGCCTCGGCAGCGGCCTCGGCCACCGGATCTTCCTTGACTGACGCCTGTCGGATAGGGGCGGCGGCCGACCGTGGGGCAGCTGCGGGAGCGGGCTCCGCCGCCTTGGGCTCCGCCTTGGCCGCCTGGAAGAACACGGAGGAAGTGAGGAGAGAGAGGGGCACCAGAGAGGAGCTCGGGGAGCATGAGGGGGGACGGGGCGACACGGGGCATGCAGCACTGGGGACACCTGTCACGGGGAAAGCAAGCAGGCAGCACACGGGGCGAGCACAGGACAACAAAGCACATCTCGCACCCTAAGGCTCGCCCTAAGGCTCCTCGCGTGCAGCCGCCTCCTCTGGGATGGTGGACGGCACTCCCTCGGGAACGTCCTTGGCCGCCTGCACACAGGGCTCACATCCATCAGCTAGCACTAGTAAAGGAATTTCATCAGAGATAGAGAGAGAAAAAGAACTGCATACTTTCAATTCGGCGTGCAATGTAATGTACGATATTCTAACGTATGTATGAGAAAATGATGAAATAGTTCTTTACACTGCATTGTTTAGTTAAATGCTTAAAAAATAATAACTGATTTATTGGATGAACAGGATTCTGGGAGCTGAACATAGATACAACTGTATTTCTTTTTAGAGTGTCCATTTCTGAAAACGCATGAGCGGAGTGAAACATCTGTTAGTGGTTCAGGGCAGAAGGGGATTTATGTAAGAAGATAGAGCCTACGGGTAAGAGCGAAGTATTTACAGCGTTGGATGTTTGCAAAGAAGAAGTTTTATATAGAACAATGCCACAAGTTGAAAGTAAAATAAATTGAATCAACAGTATAGAAAAGCGGAAGAAGTGAGATATAGCTCCGTGCACATGATTTTTATTTTCCATAGAATGAGTCATGCAAACTCCCTTGGTCATTTGGATGAATAGCTCAACTCAAGTCGAGAAGTTTGACAAAGCCTTGTCCTGGGGTCTGCCCCGGAAATAAAGGGCACTGCACGTGCCATTTCGTCACAAAACAAAAAGTAACAATTGAGTTGAATAAAAGATTTAAAAAAAAGTGCAGCACACTGTCATTTTCGTGCACGAGGCTTGTTTTGCTGTTTACTATACAATTAGTAGCTGAAAACACAGCGCGCGGGGGAATACGAAAAACATAAAATTATGACCGTTGATTACTTATATGAAATATACTTCAACTGATCTGATTAACAAGATGATTTAATTTAAGATTCAGAATCAGAATCAAAATCAGGGATGCTTACTGAGTCTGTTGATGGTCTGTATTGGCGAGCTTTTCTGCTGCTGGAGGCTGGAAATGAGAACGGCAGACGTAAGGAGATTGCCACCTGAGGAATTCTATTCTAGCAGTACATAGTGGTCGGTCTGCCTCGTTCTTTCTTTTAGTTATATTGTACCGGATGCAGGCGAGCGGGCGGGCTACCCTATATCGTCGCTCACCTTACTGAGCCCTGCGAGTGTGCAACCTTCCCGCACGCCTGTATCCGGTGCAATATAGCCGAAAGAAAGAACGGCGCTGACCGACCACCCTAATAAACGTCGGTGGTTTTTGGCCATTTCTTGGCGCAAGCGGTGGCCAACATGAATAACCCAAATGTGATCCAGTGGGGGGGGGGGGCGCCTCGTCGGTAGGCAACGAGATCGCACGCCTACACGCGTACGCGCCGTTGCCTACCGGCGAGGCGGCCCCCGGAGCTGAGCTAAGGTAGGAGACATGACAGAAGCCTTGGCGTTTACCTGCTGGCTCTGGACCAGGCTCCTGGCCGTTGGCGACGGCCCGCGCTCGGTTGTAGTAGGACAGCGTCGCGATGTCGTCCTGCACGTTGTGGTGGTCCTCCGGCACGTCGTAGTGGCTCCTGCGCTTGCCGTAAGCCTTGCCGCCCGCGAAGCTCACGCACGCCAGGTGGCCCTTGCCTGGAACACGGCGAGTCCGTCACGACCATACCCCTGTGCGCATTCGCTCTCGGTGGCGATACCCAGCGCCCGAGCGGCCGCGATCTGGTTAACGGTTCTATTTTAGTGGGCGAGGAATGCGGCTCGGCGGGGCAGCAGGCCGCGCAGGCCGCCCCGCGGGGTATGTCCGAAGGGTACTTCACTCAAACGAAAATCAGTGCTCCCCACCAAAAATACAAGAGAAAAAATAACCGGAGATAGATCAATTTAAAAATTAGAAAGAAAATCAGATAAAATCGGAAAACTAAAGGAAAACAATTTAGAAAACATACCAAGAAAAATACAGTAAAATCGGTGTACGCTTGAGTTTCTATATGAGTATGACCATGACCGCCGCGTACCCAGTGCTCACTCACCGATGTAGGGGCGGGGGTGCTCGACGTAGAAGGACCGAGAGGCGACGTCGCGCTGCACCTTGCTGATGGGCGCCAGCAGGCCCTCGATGTAGTGGTCGGAGGTGTGGCGGTGAGGGACGGGGGTCTCCATGAAGGAGCTGGAAACACGGAACGGAATTTAATCAACAGGTTGGCCACGCCCACTTTGGTAGTGAGACTTCTCCGCACGCGTTGGTGCGGGCGGGTGGCACGCGTACATACGAGGCGGAGACGATCAGTGGACTACGAATGTGGGCTGGCCGGATCAGTCAGTCACCACTAATATAGTATTGTTTGGAGCTTGGCGCCTGCGAGACTCACGGCAGGCCAGCCCGCAGCACACGCATGCATCACAGGCAAGATGTTGCCCACCTGTCAGGCGCCTTGAGTGCTTGCACAGGCTGGACTTGGCAGGTCGAATGACGAGCAAGTAGGTCGGCCCCTGGCAGGTGGGCAACATCTTGTCTGCTGTGCATGCATGTGCTGCGGGGTGGCCTACCCGGAGTCTCGCAGGCGCCAATAGGCTCCCGTTGGGCCGACTACCAACGAGTTCTGTCTCGTGGGGCCGCACGGCGGCTCACACTGACCTGGGCGTCGGCAGCACGACGTGCAAGGGGCCTCTGGAGCGTGGGATGGGCGAGTGGACCCTCTTGAGCAGGGCGGCGGTCTGGGCGCGGATGGACCTCGTCTCATCGTCGAAGTTCTGGAGCAAGTAATAACTTAGTACACAGCGGGGACTTCTTAACGCGGTGGACTGCGGCCGCGACATGCATGCTGATGTGTGTGTGTGTGTGCGTGTGTGTGCAACTGTGCAGCCGTGAGTGCGAGAGATACGCCGTGTCTTTCAAGACACCGGTACCTTGACTGTTTTCGGGCTTGGTAATGCATTTACGACCAGCTGGTCAGAACTGTGCTCAGATGCTTGTCCGTGTCATCAAGGTGCTTCCCCCGTCACGTTGAGGGGCGTTCGACATGCGGGCATGGGGACACTCACGTCTTTGTATTCATACCGGAACCGTTCCGGAACTGAGCTTTCGAGGTTTTTCATCCTGTAGGTGAGAGGCAGAACCACGTAGCGCATCATTGTTGGTATGTGGAACGGTGTGTACGGCTGTACCTGTAAAATGCAACTCCAGTGAAGCTCCCCCTTTCCTGCAATTTAACTCGGAGAATGTAAACGACAACGTCACGACAAGGACGTCGGGCGGATGTGACAGTTGCGGATCGGCGGCAGTGCGTATAAAAAAACACAAGTGTGAGGAAACATACCTCTCAACATAAAGAATTCAAGACGCGAGTGTAAAAATGTCATGCTTAAGCACGAAAAGTTCTGTTTGTAACTGAACGAGTCAAACGAAAAAAAAGTACGATTTAAAGCGGGCTACAGGCTGGCAAGAGGTTGCCGAGACTTCTAGTCCTATCATGTCTCAGACCAAAATTTCTCAAAAAAAAAAATTAAAAAAATGCCACCACTGTATTTTAATCAAAAATGCGGGAGCTTTACACTTGAGCGCCTAGCACAGCATTTAGCGATGGTTCTGCCTCCCAGCAGGAAGATTGTAGATAGGCAAGCAAACAAACTCTCTCATGATAGAGCACTCACTCAGCCACACCCATTCCCTCTGTCAGGCTTTCTCTCTATATATATATTTCTGTCTTTCTTCCCCTCCCTCCCCCTTTCTCCCACTTCCTTCCACTTTTCATACCCTCATACATGCACACAACATTGAACGTCAATCTAGCAAACAAGCAAAATGCAAACAATGCGAAGTCACTCTCACCCTGAGCGTGCACCAAACGAGAAGTACCCACACGCACACCAGTTGAACCAAACTTGCGCGTGGGGGTGTTCTGCATCAACACCAGTTGTACCAACATAAAAGGGAAAACGGAAAAATAAGTCTAGGTCTATGACACATGAATATGAAACATTTCACATACAGAGGAGTACCCTAGCATGCCTAGGGAACAAATGTATTAATCGAAGGGTTTCAAACTGACAGCCAAGACGATAAATAAACATATGTCATTAGACCTACAGTGAAGAGAAAAGATAAAAACTGAAGAAATTTGAAATTGGGTACCTAGCACAAGAAAAACCTCGGCACCGCACGAAAAAGGGAAGAAAGTTGTAAACATTTTTCATTTGTGCTTTGATATTACGCTTTCGTGCGAAATATGTACAAACAGAAAAAAATACAGAGAAGGATTAACACAAAATAACGAAATAGCAGATCATCCAAACTACACGTACCAGGTCGCGGAAAAAGTTCTGCAGGCGATAAATGTCGTAAGTCTACGATAACCAAAGAAAACCACAAGATGGCGGTATGAGAAACACTGCTATAACTAGAATTTA